GAGGTACGAGTCATTGGTGCTAAACTTCTTTTCTGTCCAGCCAAGCCTCGACATAACACCCATTCCGTCGGTCTTTAATGACTTGTCGCTGACACTTCTTCATCCTGCACCCAGAGAACCGGTGAGTGCCCTCTGATTCAATCTCCATCATACAGTTTGCAGCCTTTTAACGCGAAACCGATAATCTTGTATGAATGGCCAGCGGCCAGGCTGACCAAATGAACAGACCGATTTGTAACCTCTTCTTCTGCAGAGTCAAAAAACTCCCCCCACAACGGATGGCGCAACAAAAGAGGTTGTCAAGCCCTCCTTAAGCTCTTTGTCGTTTTCGCAGCGCTTTTTCACAAATTCGCCCACCTTCGTCAAGAGTAGCACAGATGCTTAATTTAGAATTGGAGAAAAGCAATCATACTCTCTTTTTTCCCTCTAACCTTGCCCCTTAGGGTTTTCCTTTCCGTCTCGACCAGCGCTAAGCTCAGTCTGCTCAAGGAGGACAATATTTATGCATTTATAGCTGCTTAAGCCCCTCCAATTAGTCACATCACGAGATTTCATTTACAAATCTCGCATTTCTATTATACAGAAAAAAGGGAAATATCTATGAGATGTGATGAAGGTCTAGTAGTTGAATTTCTCCACGACCATACGAGAAGACCTTACATTTTCATTAAATTTCGCATTGTCTTATCTCCTAAAAAGTATTCTCATCCAGACTGGAGTGGACTGCAGTTTCGACCTCGCCTGAAGTGGTCCCATCACCACCCACAGCGGGACTCCAACCTACCTTATGGAAGTTCGACGTATGAGCTCAACCGTTTAACCACTACACAACACTGCCACGAGAGCTTTTGTGCAACAGGGCAAGCGAAAATTTCTCGGAAGACCAGGTCTTTTACCATGTTACATTCTGTTCTTGGTTTGTCGATGAAGCAAAGTCATATTTAACAGAAAAATCGACGAGATTACCTATTTTTGGTTAATTAGTCGGTTTTCGAGGCTGCCAGTAGATCATATTTATGAGAGGCATTCACACTATTTCGTTAAGGTGATAAAGAACTAATAGTTTAATCTTCCCACAACTTTAATATCATAACGAAATAGAGTGAAAACTTTATATATGTATATATATATAAACTTGAATGACCCTAAACTGAGAAGTTAGGAATGGTGGTTTCGTAACCTGACTTACACACTTACGAACTTACATCTCATTATTTCAACCATAGTTGCTTACGGACTTATGCACTTCCGGTTAGGGCTTTTTATTGGGTCATTAAGCCTTGATGACCAGTGACTGATATTAGCCCTTTTTGCCCACTCCTATTTGGGACCGGTATTGCGTATAGATGTAACACACAAACACACACACTCTTTCAAAAGTAGCAGGACTGATATGATAGGTAATTAGCCAAAACATTATATATCTAGATATGTTTATTTATTTTAGTTTTCGAGTTGTGAGTATAGATTAGAGATAAGATAGAGTCAGGCATTCTTCTTGACTTAAAGTTTGTTGAGTGGAGACTTTTGCAAAAATAAGTTCCAGCTCTGATTATAACCATCATGTGAAAGCTCAGCCCACTTTCGTCCGAACTGAGGAAGGATACCTCTCTATCTATCTATGCTATTTATTGTCTTTTGCTTAAATGAGTTAAGCCCTAGTGTTAACGTAAGACTTTTACAAGAATCGGTTTCAGCTCTAAAGATTTCCATTATATGATGAACGAAAGCTCAGCCCATTTTCACCCGAAACGAAGGAGGATGCCTCGTAGATTGCCTCAACTTGAAC